ATACATAGTTTATTGGAACTAAGCTGGAAAAATAAATATGAAGGTCAGTTAAATGATAAAACATGAGGTAAAATTTTAATGTAATTGATGCATTTTAAGTGTATTTATTGATTTATTAGTCCATTTATATATTTTTGCTTCTATTTCTAATTATGACAGTGTCRGTCCTCCATACTCCGTGTCACGTTAAATAACTGATGCAGCTGTTTTTCTTCTTCAGGACAGAAAATGTTTTTACACTTTTAGTGACGGAGGGTCTTTGCCTCAACATCCAGCTGGTCCTGCTGGACCTTCTGCTGATTCCTGGGACACCCAGTCCTGCAGGTATGTGCCCAGACCACGGACGGGATTTAGGACTTAGCAGAAAAAAGTCCTCCTTTTTTTTTTTTTTTTTTTGGTGAAATGACCGCAACTCCTTTCAACGTATGTTAGTCACACAAATTTATTTTGCAACATTCATTTTCATATAATACATTTATATTACTTATTGTACAATGAATATAAGTGTACTTGGGTAAAATACATGAAATAAGTAAAAATACATATGAAAAGCTGGGTGATAGGTTGACAAAAATGGTTTACAAAGGTTATTTACAAAAAACATGAGTCTGCACACATGCTTTTCTGCTGTTAGAGTTTTACAGATTTAATGTTTTGTTTAGAGGTTAGTGATCCTGGACCCAAGAGTTTGTTCAACTCATCAACGTTTCTGGACCCAAATGTTGGTCTGTTGCTCTCAAACAGAACGATGGATTCTTATTTCAACCCATGACCCCTAAAACACTCACAGAAACCAAATTTTCTTCCATTTTGATCTTTCCTAAGCAGAATAACAACAAATTGTTCAATAAAACGTGTTATGCAGGAATAACCGAACTGAATGGAGATCCTGGCAATGGAGAGCAGCTTCTCTGCCTCAYCGTGGCGTTGCGATGATGTTGTAGCGCCGAGGCAAGTTGGCGAAGCTGCTGTACTCCGGGATGAGGTCGATGCTGTCGGGGCCTTCAGGGCAGGACAGGCTGAAGTTCTGCAGGATCGCCACGATGAAGAGAAACAGCTCCATGCGTGCCAGAGACTCGCCAACACACGCTCTTTTTCCTGTAACCAGGCACAGCCCTCACGTTCAAACACAATTATTACAAATATTAGATCACTTCCCCATCGTGTAATGATTCCTTTTACCTGCAGAAAAAGGAATGAAAGCAGGATTTTTCTTAAAGTTGCCGTTCTGGTCCAGGAAGTGCTGGGGGTCAAAGGAGATGGGATTCGTCCATTGCTTTTCGTCTTTAAGCACAGAGTGCAGCAAAGGAAAAATCACCGTCCCCTTTAAAGACAAAACAAGAACCAGCACATTATTAGACCTAAAAACCAAAGGACACCAGCTGGATTTGAAGGTTTTCCTTCCTGCGGGATCATTGGGCTACCTTAGGGATTGTGTAACCCCTGAAGGAGAAGTCCTGCAGGGCATAGTGAGGGAGGCTGAAGGGGACGATGTCCAGGAAACGCTGAACCTCGTGGATGACGGCGTCCGAAAATGGGAGGGACTTTCGATCCTCCATGCTGGGGCACCGTTCCTTCCCAATCACGGTGTCGATCTCCTCGTGCATTTTTTCTGGACAGAAGCACAACAAACCGACACTCTGGTCTGCTGACTTGCCAGGAGTCGTCTTTTACTGAGGTGGTGCCTCACGAGGCTCAGGTAACAAAGCTTTATGTAGCCTGGGTCCCTACATGTGGTGCTGTAGTCCAGACCACTTAACCCAGGACCAAGACTTTAAGGGCTAGACCCAGTCAAGACCACTTAAACCAAGACCAAGTCTTTTAAGCTCTGGACCCAGTCGAGACCAAGACTTTTAGGGGCTAGACCAAGTCAAGACCACTTAACCCAAGACCAAGACTTTTAAGGGCTGGACTAAGTCAAGACCACTTAACCCAAGACCAAGACATTTAAGGGCTGGACCAAGTCGAGACCAAGATTTTAAGGGCTAGACCCAGTCAAGACCACTGAACCCAAGATCAAGACTTTTAAGGGCTGGACCCAGTCAAGACCACTTAATCCAAGACCAAGACTTTTAAGGGCTGGACCAAGTCAAGACCAAGACTTTTAGGGGCTAGACCCAGTCAAGACCACTTAACCCAAGACCAAGACTTTTAAGGGCTGGACCAAGTCGAGACCAAGACTTTTAGGGGCTAGACCCAGTCAAGACCACTTAACCCAAGACCAAGACTTTTAAGGGCTGGACCAAATCGAGACCAAGACTTTTAGGGGCTAGACCCAGTCAAGACCACTTAAACCAAGACCAAGACTTTTAAGGGCTGGACCAAATCGAGACCAAGACTTTTAGGGGCTAGACCCAGTCAAGACCACTTAAACCAAGACCAAGACTTTTAAGGGCTGGACTAAGTCAAGACCACTTAATCCAAGACCAAAACATTTAAGGGCTGGACCAAGTCGAGACCAAGATTTTAAGGGCTAGACCCAGTCAAGACCACTCAACCCAAGACCAAGACATTTAGAGGCTAGACCCAGTCAAGACCACTTACCCAAGACCAAGATATTTAGGGCCTAGACCCAGTCAAGACCACTCAACCCAAGACCAAGACTTTTAAGGGCTGGACCAAGTTGAGACCAAGACTTTTAGGGGCTAGACCCAGTCAAGACCAAGACCGGAAAACACACAGTATACTGTACACTGGTAGCTGACTTAATTTAGCAAATATTGACTAAATCATTCAGGTAAACAATTTTGGTACAGAAGCAGATTGCTAATGTTAGCTAGCTAAATTTGCTAACATCACACATGGCTTAGCTTTCTTTGTGTCAGTGAAGATTTTGCAGACGTCTTCTCCCGCTCCATGGCAACCACTGCTCACTTTCTTGGAGTGCCACGAACGAGTGAAAAGGTGGGGATGGGCGACAGCAGCAACAAATATACATAATTATCTATGATTCACGTTTGGATTTGTACCGGAGCGTTTTACTTTCAATGAACGCAAAGATGTTAAAAATATTTGAATATATTTTGGCAATTTAATGACATTTCCACAGTTGTGGTCTTGACTGTTTTTGAAATAAAATCCCAAGACCACAACAAGACCAAAAGGTGGTCTTGAGTTCTACAACACTACCTACATGGTGTATCTTGGGTACTTACATGGTACTTATTCAGAATGTACTGGGTAAATGAATTAGGCTGTATTACTGTATGTTTTGCTTTGTTTAGAAAATTTAGTTGTTCATTTAGACTAATAACTTTCTAGTCACTCTTGTTGAGTGGCCCAATAGTTTCTAAGTCGTCCCAGCCCAGTGAGATCGCACCTTCAAGACACCTACCCTGAATTTTGTGCTGTTTGATCAGAACACCAAAAGCGTATCTGATGGTGGAGCTGGTGGTTTCTGTTCCCGCCACAAACAGATTAATCACCGTCGCCACCAGGTTGTCGTAGTGGAACTCAGTGGAGGGATTATTCTTTTCCTGAAATAAAAAATTAGACCAAAGATTTACAAAAAAAAAAAAAAAGATTTAGCAAGTGGCAACCAATGCTTGATGTCTTAAAAATGTGATTTCAATGGATGAATGCCAAATTTTTGAGACCGAGGAAACTTCTGAGTTAGTTTTAGTCGATTCGGTGTCATGAAATAAAAGTATACAGAAGATCTTCCCAACCTGGTGAGCCCGGATGAGGAAGCAGTCAATAAAGTCTCTGGGTGAGCTCGGGTCCACCGTGTCTTTGTGCTCCTGGATCTTCTTCATGACAAAAGCTCTGATCTCGTCGATTTTTTCAAAAACATAGTGCTGTTTGCCGGGAAGACGCTCCATGAGCCAGGGGAAGAGGTTGTACATCTGAGGGGACAATGAGTTGATTTTTATGCACTGAATATGCTGCTAAAAGTAAATGAGTTATTGGACCACCTTCACTTACCACACCCAGAGGGCTGCTGTTGAACCGTACAATCTCAGATATGGTGGCCAGAAGGTCCACAAACTGCTCATCTTCATAGCTGAAGCGCTGGCCGAACACCAGGCAGCAGATCACGTTGGACACGGTGCGACTCAACAAAATGGACGGGTCAAAAGATTTGCCTGAAAGCAAAAATCTATTTTTAAAATGTTCTCAGATGGTAAACAAATATGTTGGGGAAAAAACACTAAAGAATGTGCATTATGTGGAATAAGCTAAAGGTTTGATTGAAGACTGAGTGATGAAATAAAGCACTAGCTAAAACAAAAAGATAGCTAAAAGAGAAATATCAGATGGCTAGCTAAAAGTTGCAAAACAACACATTAAAGCTAAACTGGCAAAAGATTAATCAAAAGTAGCAAAATGATGGAATTTAGCAAAAATTTAGCTAAAAGCTAAAGTAGCAACATTGTAGCTATAGGCCAAAAATAACAAATGCATAGCTAAATGTACGGAAAGGTTGCTAACAAACTTGTAGCAAAATGATTAAGTCTAAATGTAGCAAAACTAAAAATAAATAAATAAATACATGTAGCAAAACTGTAGCTAAAAGCTAAAGTAGCAACATTGTAGCTATAGGCCAAAAATAACAAATGTATAGCTAAATGTATGGAAAGGTTGCTAACAAACTTGTAGCAAAATGATTAAGTCTAAATGTAGCAAAACTGAAATAAATAAATAAATATAGCAAAACTGTAGCTAAAAGCTAAAGTAGCAACAATTGAGCTATAGGCCAAAAGTAACAAAGGTATAGCTAAATGTACTGAAAGGTTGCTAACAATTTCAACATAGCAAAAACAAACTTAAAGCAGCAAAAAGTTAGCTGCTAGCTAAAAGTTGTAAATAAAAGCTGAAATTTCAAATAATCAGCTTAATGCAGCAAAAAGGTAGCTGAGAGTTAAAAATCACAGTGCAACTAAAATCTAAAAGTAGGTAAAGTATGAAAAGACTAGCTAAAAGGTAAAACAACAGAAGGTTAAATATGTGTCAAACTAATGCTAATAGCTAACATAGCATAAGACTAGCTAACTGCTAAAAGCAGCATATGTCTTAAAGCTAACAGTAGCAATAACAGAGCCAGCATGTTGAAGCATATTTTAGAAAACAAGGTTTTGTATTAAAGACGTTTTTCTTCCTGATAGAAAAACAAGGCTGGATGAATCTGCTGCCTGAAAAGGCCACAACAGGTTATTTAATTAGTCGATTGTTTTTTTATTTTTGCGGTTATGTCAGACAGAAAGGGGGGTAAAGAGCAGCTTCAGCAACAGATACGTTGAACAGTTTCCAATAAACTGACACCAGTCATGTGCCGACAGAAATGTGCTGGGTCAGTGCTCACACTATTGATTTCCTGTTTGTAAAACACAACTTTATTTATAAAGCACTTAAAGGACAACACCGTAGGCTCTGCAAACTGATTCTGCAGACATTGTTCAACTTTAGTTGATTGTATCAAAATGTTCAGCTGATTAAGTAAATCAGTACTGGGACTTTTATTTTTGTAACTTTTATACTTTTTTATATATTTACTTACTTATGTGCTGGTTATAGTTATGCTACTTTATACTGTTTTGCTAATTGTTTTGCTTTAGCTGTTTTAGCTATTTTTCTGCTGTCATGCTTGTTTTAGATTGTAGCTACCTTTTCATAATTTTAGCTTTTGTTGTATTTTAGCTGGTGCTCTGCTGATGTTAGCCTTTATACAGCTGCTATTAGCTTTTGGCTCGTGTTCTGCTGCTGCTACAGTCTTAGCTTGTGTTCTGCTCTTTGTAGCATTTATTCTGCAGGTTTTAACTTTAATGACTTAGTTTTTTATCATAATTTAGTAATATTATTATTATATTATTATTATTAATTCAGTATTATTTTTGGCTCGTAACTTGTTTTAAGGCGAACGGTTCAAACACACCTTTGAAGCTCTGGATGCCCTCCCTCAGGTGTTTGCTCTCCTCTTGGATCCACTCCTCCATCCCTTTACGACCCATCCCAAAGTCTCTGAGGGTCGTGAGCGTGAAGCGCCGCAGCTGGCGCCAACGTTCCCCGTTACTGATGCCAATACCTGCCGGACAGAAACCAGTTAGAACCCAGAGAGAGACCCCATCAGACTGGATCTAACCCAGCCCTTAGCTAAAAGTTGTGTATGCAAGTTTCCTTTAAGTATACTCATTTCAAACTTAAAACAACAACAACAACAACAACAACAACAACAACAACAACAACAATAATAATAAAATAAGAGTATGCTTCCAGTTTACTTTTTATGTACTTACAGTATCCAAGATATACTTAACCAAGTTTTTCTTACATTATACTTGTACTAAACTAAAAGTTTAAGTATACTTAGCTTGTACTAATGTTTCAACTTTTGGCCAAGATAAACGTTAGTAGTACACTGAAAGTACATTTTCACAGACTGGTTTATTTGTAGTAGATTTCAAGATTKTACTAAAAGTATACTTAGAAGATTACATTCAGTGTACTTCTGAGTGTACTTTCATAAACTTATTGTGGGCCAGTTTAGTCCTAGAAGTATACTTATAGCTGTGTACAAAAATCCATTGATGGAAATACAGTTTTATATACTTTAGTACACTTAATGACATGCACTTAAAGTATACTTCTTTTTGTTAAGTTTAATAGACATTATAACAGTGAAGTATACTTTTTATACACAAAAGTCCCAATTTAGTACAAACAAGTATTAAATCAGTATACTTTTTAGTACACTATAGTACATGGTGCCTAGTATACTTGATATACTTCAACCTACTGTATACTCAAAATAAACTTCAAGTATACTATTTTTACTAAGGAGAGACCCCCACAGAGGGACTGGTCTGACTGGTTCTAACCCAGAGCCCCCACAGTGGGACTGGTCTGACTGGTTCTAACCCAGAGACCCCCCACAGAGGGACTGGTCTGACTGGTTCTAACCCAGAGACCCCCAACAGTGAACTGGTTCTGGCCCTGGGTGTGTCAGAACCCTGAGGTCTCACAGAGGATCTGGTCTGTCTGGTTCTGGGTTCTTACCGAACCCTCTGGTAGCTTTATGCAGGAACGGAACCGGGGCTCTTCCTGTGAAGTCCTCTGCCTGGTCCACCAGGGCCTCCTTCACGGTCTCATATCCGGTCAGAACCACGGACCTCTGCCAGCCCAGGTGCAGGGTCATCACCGGACCGTAGGTTTTACTCAACTTTAAAAACAAAATCAGACATTTGGATCAAAGTTGGATCCATGACGTCATTAAATCCCTTCAGATCTGCAGGTTTTTCCTGTATGAAGCTCTAAAAGCTGTTTACCTCCACAAAGCTCCTGAAAGGCGCCTTCTTGTTGATCTGCAGCAGGTTTCCGATCAGCGGCAGCGCGAAGGGTCCAGGAGGAAGGTTCCGACCCACTTTTTCTCTCAGGGTCCAGATGAGAGCCAGAACCAGGCCCAGCAGGGTCAGAGCTGTAGAGAGGTCCATCCTGATCTGCTGACCCGGGTCCTCCTCTCTGCTTTTTATGCAGCTCTCTGTTGATGTTTAACAGACGTCTGGCGCGCGCAGCTGACGCACGTGTTTGTTTTCCCGCGCCTTCACGCGCTTCTGGGTGAAAAGCTGCTCCAAGTCTTTCACAACACAAGAGCTTTACAGAACCAGAGTCTCCTACAGCCAGATCCACGAGATCAGGTCGTCAAAACACAAACTGTGTGTCTGTGGAGGTCCAATCCGGTCAGAGCGCGGGTTTCTGAACCGAACCGAACCGAACTCTGCGCAAAAACGCGTGCGTAAAAACAAGACGGAGGCTGTCAAAAACCTCTCATTTATTTATTTACTAAGAAAAAGTTTCGCCTCGCGCATTGACAGCTGCAGACCGGGTTGCCAGATAGAAAAATGGCGACACATCATCCTGTCGCCACGTGTTGATGTTTGTAAACAATGGATGTCGTTACTTCTTTGTTGGTGTGAATTTTGTCCAGTTTGCTCAAAGCTTCAAAGATGAGTTTCGTTTTGATCAAGTTAATTTAAAAAAACGAGCTCGCGTATCGAGCCAGAAAAAGACAAAACTTTATCGAAACAAACCTGAACAGGATTTGTTTATCACTCAGTGAGATTAAATTCCTTTCAGGGTTGAAATCAACGTAGAAAAGCCAACATTTTACACAAATCTACTGTAAAAAAATAATATTTTTGTTTTAAATACTTCTGTGTCTTCACACTGTTTCGTATAAAAGATGTTTGGCAAAGATTTGGCAACCCACTTCACCTCTGCAGCACAAACCACAGATTATTTTTATTTCTTTTACAAATGTGGCAACATTTAAGGGAAATAAACCGATTTATCGTCAAGAATCATAAAAATATCAACCAAACAGAAAAAACATGTAAAGCTGCTGCCAGAGAAGCAGATCAGTGGAAGTGTTGAGAAAAACAACTTTAATCCCAGTTCAGTGAGTCCACTTAAAACTTCATTAATCTGAATTAAACTGTTATAGAGTTTTAAAAACGCCGATTCGTTCCAACTTTCTGTGATCCGTTTAGTCTGAGCTGGACCGGATTTTCTCTCCAGTTTCAACTAAGTCTCGTTGTGTCTCGTTTTGCAGGTTGTGTGGCGTTCCTCAGCTAAAGTCTGATCAGGCCTCGTTGGTTGATCTGAGAGCTTCAGGAGAGGCAGCAGCAGCTTCAGCTCRTCTAACACCGCCTGTCAGAACAGCTGAAACTCTGTCAGGGTGAGTCGTCACCTTTAGCTCAGCTGTGTCACATAAAGTTTTCAGTTTATTACAGTTCATAGTCTGAGCAGCAAACTGGAAAACATTTAAACGTAATAAAGACTAAAGCTGCACACACCGATGGCAAACACACAGCTAAAAGCCGAAGCTCGGCTAAAACGTGCTGCATCATCCCACCTCCACACAGGCAGATGTTTGTGGAGTAAAAGTCCTGGTGAAACAGGCTTTATTTACAATCCACCTTTAATCTCCACTCTGTGTCCAACAGGAGCCAAAGGTTGTTTTCATTTAATCAGGTGAAAAGGACACAGATTACAGCCGAATCATAAAATCTACACATTTTACAAAACAACACACAGAAAAACACCTAAAACTAAAAATTACTTTCACAGCAGAGGGATAATGAACATCTGCAGACTTTGTTTTATTTTAGCTGTAAATAGATTAAAACAGTTAGGAGAAAGGTGCTGTGGAACTTTAACTTTATTTACATGATAAAAAATGAGATTGTGTTATTTTAAACTTTTTTAGCCATTTACCCTTTACATTTCAGCTAGTCTTTTACTACTTTCACCTTTAATTAGCCTTTGTGATTTTAGCTACTTTTAGCTAAACTTAGTAACCATTAGTTAGCCTTTTGACACTTTCAGCTAACYCTTGAGATTTTAGCTACTTTTTGAAAGTATTAATTTAGCTAATTTTTTCTACTTTTAGCTAGCTGTTGTGATTTTAGCTACTTTTAGCTAAACTTAAGCAATGTTTAACTCACCTTTTGCCACTTTTAGTTAGCCTTTGTGATTTTAGCTACTTTTAGCTAAACTTAAGCAATGTTTAACTCACCTTTTGCCACTTTTAGTTAGCCTTTGTGATTTTAGCTACTTTTTGCTAACCTTAGCAATGATTAGCTAACACTTTGCCACTTTTAGCTAGGCTTTTACTATTTTTTTATCTTGTAGATACCTTTGAGATGTAGCTAAAATTTTGCAACTTTGATTTTTRTCTTATTTTGTATAATTAGTTACCTGCTGGAATCTGTCAGGTGTTGTTGTTCACCTGAGCTTGGACAGCCGGTTCAGATGTTATCAGTCCATTAAATGGACGTTATCAGCGGTTATCAGTCCCATTGAATGGCTTCAGACTGTCCCAAAAGTGCCCCCTAGTGGGTTACCAGTGCCATATACGTTGGAAGGCAACAATCTGCCGGAGTCCGGTCTACTTTAAGCTAGCCCAGGTCATTTTCTCTAAAACTAACCTTTATGCCTYATATTAACCAGCYGACAGTCTGAAGCCATTCTATGGGACTGATAACCGCTGATAACGTCCATTTAATGGATGATAACAGCCGAAGCRGGTGGCTTGGTTCAGAATCCTGCTGCAGGAAACCTCAGAACTGAAAGACTTCCTGTTTCTGCAGACGTGTGTCTGAACGTCTGGAGTGAAATCTTTCAGCCGGCTGATGTCAGACTGAAACACAGCCGGAGTTCAGAGTCCAGGYGATGAATTATTCACCTGAGGAGAGCGGGCGTGACTCCAGGAGGAGCAGCTTCATTCATTTATAAATCAGACGCTCCGACAGGTGAAGAGTTATTAACAGAGGAACACGAGGGGGCTCTGTGGGGGGTCACGTTCAGAAGGCGAACCCCCCGCAGTCGAACGCATCAAAGTCGGAGTCTGCTTCGAAGTCGAAGCTGTTGTAGTGCGGCGCGTCGACGTCCTGGCTGCAGGCGTGGAACGACCCGCCYGCGGGGAGGTCAGAGAAGGCCCCGGGGCCGTGCATGGGCAGCTCGGGGGCCCGGGTGGCCAGGGGCGAGGAGGGGGCACAGGAGTTGAGGTAGCTCAGAGCGGAGGAGGCCGCGGGCCCCCCCATCAGAAGGCACACCGCCCTCACCGCCCGGGCGTCGCTGCTGTTGCCGTGGCGCAGGCAGTCTGAGACGCGGTGAGGCGGGGCCACGGAGACGCTGCGCTGAGGCTGCCGGGGTCCTCTGGCTGCGGAGACAGACGAGACCAGAACAAATATAAAACCSCTCAAAGCCAACCCTGCTGCTGCCCTGGGCTCAAAACAACCCGGGGCCTCAAACTCCACCCTGAGGTCTCCCAGGTCACTTTGACCCCAGGGCAGCAGCAGGGTTCAGGCCTGTTTGTTAAAAGCTGTAATGGAGCTGCTGGCACACCTCTGTCTCTCAGCGAGCCCCCCCTCTCCATGACTCTGGATAAAGGGGGTGTGGTGAACCCTCTGGTCCGGGGCGACCCGGGTCCTTGGTTGGAGGGGTCGGGGGGCGGGTCTCGGTCGGTGATGCAGGGAGTGAAGCTGTGCTGCCTCTGAAGGCTCCAGGACGACGAGACGCCCTGAAGGAGACATGGAGGACGCAGTGGACGCTAAATTATCAGTTTCTTTTTAAAAAGAAGTCCAGGATTAACAGATTATAAGAGATGAACAGATTAAAACCTCTGACCCACAGAAGGAAACAAACTAACCTCTCTGACTTTACTGATGAGCTTCAGCCACAGACTGGAAGGTAAACATGAGAAGTTATCATCTCTGACACAGATCCAGTAAACATTACAGCAACGAAACGTCTGATAGTCGGACAGAGAGCAGTGTGTGTCTGTGTGTGTGTCTGTGTCTGTGTCTGTGTGAGTCTGTGTGTGAGTGTGTGTGAGTCTGTGTGTGAGTCTGTGTGTGTGTCTTTGTGTGTCTGTGTGTGAGTCTGTGTCTGTGTCTGTGTGAGTCTGTGTGTGAGTGTGTGTGAGTCTGTGTGTGAGTCTGTGTGTGTGTCTTTGTGTGTCTGTGTGTGAGTCTGTGTCTGTGTCTGTGTGAGTCTGTGTGTGAGTGTGTGTGAGTCTGTGTGTGAGTCTGTGTGTGAGACTGTGTGTGAGTCTGACTGTGTGTGAGTCTGTGTCTGAGTCTGTGTGTGAGTCTGTGTCTGTGTGTGAGTCTGTGTCTGTGTGTGAGTCTGTGTCTGTGTGTGAGTCTGTGTGTGAGACTGTGTCTGTGTGTGAGTCTGTGTGTGAGACTGTGTCTGTGTGTGAGTCTGGGTGTGTGTCTGTGTGTGAGACTGTGTCTGTGTGTGNTGTGTGTGTGTCTCTGTGTGAGTCTGTGTGTGAGTCTGTGTGTGTGAGTCTGTGTGTGAGTCTGTGTGTGAGTCTGTGTGTGTGTGTCTGTGTGTGTGTCTCTGTGTGAGTCTGTGTGTGAGTCTGTGTGTGTGTCTCTGTGTGTGTCTCTGTGTGAGTCTGTGTGTGTGAGTCTGTGTGTGAATCTGTGTGTGTCTGTGTGTGAATCTGTGTGAGTCTGTGTGTGAGTCTGTGTGTGTATCTGTGTGTGAGTCTATGTGTGTGAGTCTGTGTGTGAGTCTGTGTGTGAGTCTGTGTGTGAGTGTGAGTCTGTGTGTGTGTCTGTGTCTGTGTGTGAGTCTGTGTGTGTGTCTGTGTGTGAGTCTGTGTGTGAGTCTGTGTGTGTGTCTGTATGTGTGTCTGTGTGTGAGTCTGTGCCTGTGTGTGAGTCTGTGTGTGAGTCTGTGTGTGTTTTTGTATCTTTGTGTGAGTCTGTGTGTGAGTCTGTGTCTGAGTCTGTGTGTCCTTGTGTGTCTTTGTGTCCTTGTGTGAGTCTTTGTGTCCTTGTGTGAGTCTTTGTGTCCTTGTGTGAGTCTTTATGTCTTTGTGTGAGTCTTTGTGTCTTTATGTGAGTCTGTGTTTTTGTGTCTTTGTGTGTCTTTGTGTGCGACTGTGTGAGTCTTGGTGTCCTTGTGTGAGTCTGTGTTTTTGTGTCTTTGTGTGTCTCTGTGTGAGTCTTTGTGTCCTTGTGTGAGTCTTTGTGTCCCTGTGTGAGTCTTTGTGTCCTTGTGTGAGTCTGTGTTTTTGTGTCTTTGTGTGTCTTTGTGTGTGACTGTGTGAGTCTTTGTGTCCCTGTGTGAGTCTTTGTGTTCCTGTGTGAGTCTTTGTGTCCTTGTGTGAGTCTTTGTGTCCCTGTGTGAGTCTTTGTGTCCTTGTGTGAGTCTCTGTGTGAGTCTTTGTGTCCCTGTGTGAGTCTTTGTGTCTCTGTGTGAGTCTTTGTGTCCCTGTGTGAGTCTTTGTGTCCCTGTGTGAGTCTTTGTGTCCCTGTGTGAGTCTTTGTGTCCCTGTGTGAGTC